TGAAAGACAGAAATTGATGTTTTTCTTGTTTAATGCCGAGACATTCAGCGAAGAAGTGTGGAGTGTTTCTAAAGTGTCTTTTGTGTGGAAGGAAAAGAGGGCCATTAATGCATTGTAAGCTTGCCGAAATTGAAACCCCTGCGTTTAAATAAGAAGAGGACAAGAAACCAGAAAACGAATGGCAAATGTCTCTAAGCGCCAACCGTCTTTCTTCAAACTCTTAAGACCAATCTTACTTCCAATAATAATAAGACATGTGTGAGAGTACTGTCAGATAGTGGAGGGGGGATTTAATAGCTTTTTAAGATTTTAGTCAATTTTCTTGCTATACGTACAATGAGGTGAAAATTTAAATAACTTCATAAAATTCGGTTACTGAAGTAGTGAAGCAGAGGGGGGGGGGAGCAAATAAGTTTTTGCCAATAAGTTGGGGCGGTTGGTGGGAGCGACTTAAGACCTAGTTAAGGACTCAATAGCATAACCATTTCTCTATTTGACCTTTAATTTATTGTTTAAAATATTTATAAGTAGTGGTGGAAAAAAAGAGATCTTTTGATTTTAATTCCCTAAAATACTTATTATGTTATTTTTGCTACCGCTGGAAAAAATATTTTCTGAAACTTCTTTATACGTTGTCAAAACTGCACCAATTACCATAATTACAAATATTAATTAAGCGTCATCTGCGAATGGCGATTTTCTATGGTTCCTCTTCCATTTATCTTTTCTTCATTGACTTTGCTTTTCAATTATAGCTTATTTCTTTTATTGTAATACGCATATATTAACTAAATTAATTAAGCATCACTTGTGTCAATAATTGTATGACAATTTTCACGCTTCCTTAAAACAAATTAGTACCATTTTTTTTTTTTTTATAAATTTTGCCTTTGAAAATACAGCTAATTTTTTTCATTTCAACTCCATTGATGTTAAATTATTTATTTTCATAGAAACATATTTTAAAAGAATTGCAACAAACAAAAAAACACGTGGTACCAGATAACTTTTGAAATACTTCTTTTGTTTTGTTTTTAGATAATGACCTAGGTCATACAGGCACCTGAAGGGCAGATTTATTGGCCACTCTTTCAGGGGCACCGTATAGGTGGGCCAACGTTGCTCCCACAGTAAGGACAGATAGTACAGAGAAGGAAAGAACATCCATGCCTTGCCCGGGATTCGAACCCAGAACCTTTCTGATGCAAGGGCAGTTCCCTAACCCCTACACAGGCCACCCGGCTACTTTTGAAATACTGATTTTATGACGAAGTCCACGTGTGCTTCCACGTTAATGCTGTTCAGTGAATTTATGTGACATAGCGAATAAAAAAAAAAATTTTTTACGCATAAGAATTTTTTTTTTAAAAAAAAGGCGTATTTTTAAAATTTGATTTCTCAGGAACCCTTCGATATATTTCGCCAAGATTTTGTATTTTGCTAAGTAAAATTACTTTCCTTAAAATGATGTAAAATATTGTATACTTTACGGTTCAAAATTTTACGACTGTTATTAAATAAAATAATAATAAATATTTACTAAAAGTTATTTTTTGCATAGAATTATCCTTGGATAAATGAGTTAAATAATTATGTGCAATTTGCTTTATGAAGTTCTCGAGAAATGGTGAAATACGCAAAAATAAAATTAAAATTTGGAGCATTTTCCTGACAAACTATTAGGATCACATTTTCCAGACTAGGCTACATTATTATTTTTTGAGAATCGGAAATCCGAATCCGTGGAAAAAAAATTTATGTTTATTCAGAGAAATTCGCGATCGCAACGCTCGAGTACGCCATCTAGCGGGAGCCTGTAAATATCAGACATTAATTTATCACGTTTTCACTTAGTTCCATCAAAATCATCGGCCATGACGGACGCCATTTTCTTAGCAGCAATTAAAAGCAAAAACCAGAACACTTGAAAAACTAACCAGAACACAGTGGCGTAGCGAGGGGTGGGCAAGGGGGGCATCATGCCCCGGGCGCTACTCACAAAGGGGCGCCAAATGGTCCGCAAAACAAAAAAAATTGCTGGATAATTTTTTTTTTGTAATTGATTTCTGGAAAATATATTTAAATTAGTGCCAGTGTAATATAATAAATGTTAATTCATAAATATTATTCATAATATTTAATATCTAATTCATATTAAATATTATATTAAATTCATATTCATATTAAATATATTTCAATATTTAATTCACGTCCTTGTCATCGCGCTCTGCTTAGAATAAAAATGAAATGTTATTAAATATTATATATAAGTTTAATGTCAGCATAAATTATATTGTACATTTCACTATGTTACTACCTTTCAAGTTCAAGGCATTCTTGGTAAGTAATAAATCAAATAAGATTACTTACTACATCTACTCGACGCTTCTATTATTAAGTGAATAGAGTATGAAAAAATTTGTTAAC